CTCTCACTCTCCTTCATCTAGTTTTATTTTCTCCTCTCTCACTCTCCTTCATCTAATTTTATTTTCTCCTCTCTAACTCTCCTTCATCTAGTTTTATTTTCTCTCCTCTCACTCTCCTTCATCTAGTTTTATTTTCTCCCCTCTCCCTCTTCTTCATCTAGTTTTGGATCGAAGGTTGCCGGCAGGCTTTCCGGCATCATCTACAATAACGAGATAATGGACTTCTTCAACAATAAAACCGGCAAAGCTTCGTCTCCGGCCAACTTCATCCTCCCGGGCAAGCGGCCGATGTCGTCCATGTGTCCGATGATCCTCGTAGATCGCTCCGGACAGGTTCGACTGGTCATCGGCGCGTCCGGCGGGGCCAAGATCACCTCGTCAACGGCTTGGGTGAGTCAGTCGACCGAGAGATGGCGCGCGCGTCGATGGTTCGCGCGGTTTTTCGCGCGAGTTCCGATTTTTGCCGAATTTTCCCGACGTCGCACAAAGCGTGAACTGTGAGTCAGACTCCGGTGAACTTCTCAAAGATGTGTCTGTATGTGGGTGTGTGTGGGGGGAGGAGAGGAGGGCGTATTGCACCTAGCCATATGTAAATAGTGCGCGTGTACGCCGTGCCTACTAAGATCTATTTTGCGCTGAGATATTTAGAATTCAGGAGGCTGCCCGAATATATATGTCATGTAGCCATGCATAATCATGGTTTATGTACGGGGAGTACGCAGCGTAGTGCAGCGAGTCAGCATTCGCGCTGACGTTAGGCTTTTCTTTTGCAGTGAGGAGTTGTTTACGGCAGATAGGAGAGTTATTAGTGGTGCAATAAGATTTATTATACATTATCTTTATTTTTACTGATTTGTTGGAACTGTTGTTGGAGATCCATAAGTGCGTGGAGCAAGCGAGACAGAAAGACGGGGGAAGAGGAGGAGGAGGAGGAGGAGGAGGAGGAGGAGGAGGAGGAGGAGGAGGAGAGAAAGTGAGCGCGCGCAAGAGAGAAGAGCAAGAGAGAAACGAGAGCGAGAGAGAGAGAGAGAGAGAGAGAGAGAGAGAAGAGAGAGAGAGAGAAGAGAGCGAGAGAGAAAAGGATGTTGAGAGAAAGGATGAGAGAGAGAGAGGGAAAGAAAGAGAAAGAGAAAGAGAGAGAGAGGGGGAGGAGGTTGAGAAAGAGAGAGAGAGAGAGAGAGAGAGAGAGAGAGTGAGGGACTAATATGGGAGAGGTAGAGTGGTAGAAGAGATAGAAGAGCGAGAGGGAGATGAATAAAAGAGAGATACAGAAAAAGACAGTGAGAAAAAAAGAAGATATATAGATTAAGGGAGAGAAGAGAGAGGAAGAGAGAGAAAGAGAGAGACAGACAGAGAGAAACAGAAGGAGCGTAAGAGGAAGACGTAGAGCGAAAGAGAAAGAGAGAAAAAGAAAGAGCGAGAGAAAGACAGAGAAAGAGAGAGACAGAGAGAAAGAGAGAAAGAGAGAGAGAGAGATAAAGAGAGAGAGACAGAGGGAGAGCAAGAGAGAAAATAGAGAGAGATAGACAGACAGACAGCGAAAGAGAGAGAGAGAGACAGAGAGAGATAGAGAAAGAGAGAAAGTGAGAGAACAGAGCAAGAGAGAAAAGAGAGAGAGAGACACACACAGACAGACAGCGAGAGAAAGAGAGAGAGAGAGAGACAGAGAAAGAGAGAGACAGAGAGAGAGAGAGAGAGAGAGAGAGAGAGAGAGAGAGAGAGAGAGAAAGTTACGCCGAGTCTCCTACGCTATG